CTTTCACAGAATCAAAATTTCACCCATCAAATATGCAGGTCAATATATGTATGTTTTGAATATGGAGAGATACAGAGATTTTTCATAATATCCTTTTACTAAAGGTTTCGTCCCTTTCTGCATTGTTAGAGCCTTAAACAGGACAGAATCACATTTTAAAGTGTACCAAGATCATACAGATGTGAATAATATCAATATGACAACAATTCACAATGGTGGTTTGCCATTTTAAACAGTCATAGGGTATCTTGTAAAGTGGGCAAGCAGAACTTTAAACAATAGCTACAGCTATAAACAGAAGAATAGAATTCATGTGCCTATTAGAACTAAGGGGTCACACAGAGAAAAATGGTTACCAACAGTATTGGCAGCACCATCTTGAAACCCAAAAAACTCACTAATACTAATGTTGGAAATAGGATTATCAACTATTATACATTTCAGGTAATTATCACATCAGGATGTAATTATAGGCCTTTCCATGAAAGCTGCTTTGTGTCCTACCACAAAGCAAACTTTTACTTGAACTTTTATTCAATAATAATGAGAATAATACTTATGTATGGCACATGGACACTTTGCATGAATTATCTTACTGAATATATAAAAAACACTTAAAACAGTGCCAGGCACAGTAAGTGCTCAATAAGTGTTAGCTATAATTACTATTAATACGTAACCCTTCCAACAACCTTACAAAGTAGAAATGATCATCATCGCCATATGCGGGCTGTCCTACACAGGTGGCTGTTAAGGAACCCACACTAAAATGAAGAGACATCAGGTCCTCATATCAAACTAGTTATCATATCAAAGAAAAGTCATCATATGAAAATGTCCACTACAATGTAAAGTCATCCAACGCTAAACACCAAACATCTAATACAGATTTTAACTGCTACAGGAATGCAGGACAGAATTGTATGAATAAAAAGGTCAAATGCAGAAAGGCTCTGAAAAGGAACTGGGACAGGAACGGGGGCAGTATTTGGAATATGTGCCTTACCTTCATTGGCGGATACTTATGGTAAGGAGCTGCCCCTGTAGCCAATTCAATTGCTGTGATCCCAAAACTCCAGATGTCAGCTTTGAAATCATAACCTCGGACCTAAAAAGAAGAGAGAGATGTACATGATGACTTTTACCACCCAAAATACACTTTTAAAAGGTAGCTTCAAATGCGTATCAAGGACCATGAAAGTGTTCATAAACTTTAAACCAATAAAATAATCTAAAGTAGGCAAAAGCTAAATATACTTGGTAAGCGCAAAAAATAAAAAAATTCAAAAAGGGGCAACCTGAATGAATGTTCACCATAATGGGGAAATTGTTAAGTATGGTATATTCACTTAAAGAAATACAATACAGTTAACTAAAAGCAGTGGTAACAAATTCCATATGAAAATACAGAAAACCACCTGTGATAAAACACTTACGAAGAAAAAAGAACACAAAATTGTTCATAAGTTTTGATACTATCACAGGTATATAGGCTATAAACAGGTATATAGGCTATAAAACTATGGAAAAACTAGAACAAAATGTTAGGCAACGGTGGTGAGTCTTTTGTTTCCAAAATTTCCTATGCTATGATATTGTTTTATTACCTTAATTTTTATAATGAAAAATGTTACAAAGAGTGTGAATATTTTTAAACTTGTTGGTGTGAATATCTTGCCGAATTTCTCTCCGTTTATACTGTCACCACTACATTATACAAGTAAATATTTTCATTTTCTATCCTAAGCAATACAAGAGGAGAAGTAGGTTTTGGGAGTGTGTGGTTTGAGACCTAAAATTAAAGGTCCATGTTTTGTGTTGTCTTGACATCTGGTAAATAGGAGGACCTCTAATGACCTAAGTGCAGGTCCCTCCCCCCAGCTCCTAAGGATAAGGTCCCCTAGCCCAACAACGTTATTATCAATTGGACCAGGTGTACTTCCTGCTTATCCCTGACTAGCAAGTTTCAGGTCCCTGCCAGCCCTCAGAATTATTCAAATGAGCCAATCACATCCACACAAGGAAACCAAGGGGCATCTCACTCTCTTGCTACTACAAAGCCTGTCAGCCACAGTCACTGTTCCCTCTTTTCCTGAGCACAACCCCGTGTGGCATGCAGTGTCCTATTCTCCCCAGCTATGTGTATATGCAACTAATAAACTGCTGTCAACCTCACTGGTCCAGTGTCACTTGTGTGCTGAACCATCCACATAACCCTAGGGTGGGAATCCTTCCCTCACCAACAGTGAAGTCAGCTCTACATACTGAGTTTGATATACAAATAAGACATGTCTGCAAAACGCCTATAGGAAGTTAGAAATACTTACCTAGAGGCTAAGGAAACAAGACTGGACTGGGTATAATTTAGAAATAAGTTAACAGGTGGGAAGCAAAGAGAATATCTAGTGAGTACGTCAGAGAACAGTAGAGTTCAAGAACAAGGTCCTGAGGAGCAGTGTCATTTAGCAGTAGAAGGAAAGCCAGAAAAGGAGTCAGAGCAATGGGCTGACAAGTAGAAAAACATGAGAAAACTACCTGAAGGAAGCCAAGGAAGTGAAAGGTGAGAATGGCCAACAATGTCAAATGCCACGAAGAGAACAAGGCAAGGAACAAGAAATGAGAACTAGTTTTGAGATTTAGTAGTTTCTGTAAG